GGTTGAGCTGGGTGACCCACAGAGGTCACATCCAACCCTGACCATTCTGTGATTCTGTGATTCTGTGATTCTGTGAAGGCAGTTTGATGTCTCTGATTTCTTCAGCCGACGAGGCAGAAAGAAGCGTGCCTGCCATCTCGCCCCGTCCCCCCCAGCCCGCCCCGGCAGCACGACCGTCCTCCCGCCGTCCCCGTCGCCGGCCCCTGCCCGCCCCAGCTCTACACAAAGCAGCATGCACAGTCAGTCTCCCCCTCTCTCGTGCTCCGTTGCCTTCTCCTCCTTTAGGCTTTCTTACACTTCCCCTTCTTCTCCCGCTGCTGGAACTTCCGCAGCCGCCGAGCCCACGTATCCCGCCACTGTATCACAAGGCTGGTTTTGTCCGCAATGATGCCGCTCTGGTCGGGAGAGTCCTCGTTGTTGCCCAGGAGCAAATATTTCTTCATGGGCTTGATTTTGGGGCACTTGCACGCTACGTCCTTGGAGTGGATCCACAGGGTCTGGTCTCCGCGCCGTATCCGGCTGCTGCCTTGTTTGTAGACGGAGATGATGTTGACCGTGAACTTCCACCAGTCGGCATTTTTTTCCGCTTTCAGGATGTGGATCTGGACAGCTGGAAAAAAAAAAAAATACAAAAAAACAAACGAGGCAAGAGAGGAAAAGATGTTACATTTTGAGCTGGCAAGAAGAAAATGACTTTTAGGTCTTACCTAACAGGCTGTGTGAGGAAAAGGGATCTTGGCTCCTGAGCCCAGGCTGGGGGAGAGTGACCAAGGGCAGTGGTCACACAAGAATTACCTCTGTCCCCAGGCCGTCTGCCATGAGCACGAGTAGCCAGTGCTGGTGGCAGAGGGTCTCAGCAAAGGTCTTAAGACCACCATAAGCTTGGAAGATGCTCTCCAGCTCTACTGCCACAAAGGTGGCCCTCTGGGTCCTCAGTGAGCATTGGCATGGTTACCCCAGGCCCATGGGGGCTGCAGGACCCCCAGGAGGGGAGCAGGGGTTGGGAGCAGCTGTACTGCAGGAACCATAGCACTCCTTGCACTGGGAGCCCTGGGAATGACACAGGGTGACCTGGAGAACTGGTGGGGAGTGGGTGGCTTTGTTCTCCTATCTGTGTCCTAGGGAGGACCATCGTCTCCCAGGACGTGGGTGTGAAGCCAGCACAGAAGGAGCCATTCCCCAGGGCTGTTGGTACAGCAACATCTGCCCCAGCAGCTGTCAACTCTTAAATGGATTTAAAAAATCTTTAAAAATCAAGTGGATTCATGTACACTGGACCCTACCTTCTCCCTTCTCCCAGCCCAGAGGGTGGGTTTCTGCACAGGCTGTTTCTCCAGCCCCGCTGCCCTCCCTTCCTCACCGGATGGGCCGCTCAGCACATCTGCACCAGAACTCAAAGCAGCCCCAGGTTTCAAGAGAAGATGAACCAAAATCTGGAGCAAACCGCTGGGACTGGTCCATATCTCCAAGCATTTGGCATCTGGATGTAGGAAAGACCCATCAGGGCCTGCAGCATGTCTGCTTCGGGCCAGCAGAAGGAGACAGGTCTCCATGAGCCCCCCACCTCGGAGCAGGACGCTGAATGGGTTCCTACCCATGAAAGGATTTGGAAATGGGGAGTTTCACTGTTGTGTGTTTCTAAGAGATGTTCCTGAGTCAATGCTGTTCAGTGCTTGCTGTGGAAGACGACATTGCTGGTAAAAGGCATGGGTGAAGGACTGAGGGGAGGGCTCAGTGATCATAAGGACATGTCAGTGGCAGCGTCCAACCTGGCTTCTGGTTCTGGCGGACTCGCTTGAGCAGCTCTGTAAATATGGAACAGCAACATCGAGCTTGAAGGGAATATCTCAGCGTCCAGCAGCCTGGCAAGCGGGGAGTCCTGGCAGATAACTGGGAGGTCACAAGCTCCCAAAGCCAGACTGAGATGGGAGGACAACTGTGATCCGTAAGCACACGAATAGCAAGAGGATGGTGTTTTCCAAGCCTGTGGCTGATGTTGTGTAGCTCATCTCTAGCCATATGGACTGAGAAAAGCTCCTGAGAAAACCTGGTGAGGACTCAGCCCTCCACCGCTCCACCCCATGCTCCTTCCTGAAGCGGGGTTCATGTGTTCCGTTATCCCTGCACCCACCAGCATCTGTGCGGGAGTGGTGGCCCATGGTCCTGCAGAGACGGTGCGAGGGCGACTTGGCATCACGATCTGGGCAGGAGAGGACTCTCAGCGGGGTTGCCCACACAGGTCTGAGGATGGTGATGGACACTGGTTTGCTTCCCATCTGCTCAAGGGTGTCTGCTCATGGCTGATTTCAGAAGCCCCTGGAGCCCCTGGGGTTTTGTGCCATGGAACAGCTCCAGGCTGCAGCCCAGGTGGCCCTGAGCAGGCTGCGGTGACCTCTGCCAGCCCTCCTCCTCCTCTTCCTCAGTCTCTACAGCAGGTGCTGTTGTGCCTTTCCGGGTGACATCCGTGGCCTTGGGTTCAAACCGTGGGGAAGGATGGAGACCCACGTGGGAAGGGGAGAGTTTGGCCCCACAGCACAGTGAGGAAGAGGAGACACGAGCCTGGAGGCAGCTCCTGCCGCACTGGTGGGCTTCTTCCAACAGTGGTCCACCATGGCAAAGACAGCAGAGGAGGACAAGAGCAGCAGTTGGCCGAGATCTCATCCTCCAGTGAGGATGAACCTGTTCCTCCTTACTAAAAGCCATCTCCCAGGAAAACATCTTCAGCGGGAGGTGACTACGCAGCCCTCCTGGGTTTGATGGCTGAGTGCGGGATGAGGAGTCCCCACCAGCAGAGACCGAGGGAAAAACTGGGTGGTGACGGCAGCGCCGGCCGGGCGAGTGGGCGAGAGCCTGCGGCTCCGTGCAGGCTGGCGCAGTCCGACCACAAAGTGCTTTTTGACGGCCCGGGACGAACACACCCTCGTCCCGCTCCCCCTGCCGGTCACAGCCATCTGGCCAGGCCCCAGCGGGTCCAATCTTGGATGAATAAATTAGCAGAGAGAAAAAAAAAGACCTCAAAAAAACTCAGGCCGAACTCTCCCTTTTGCCGTGTAACAACCCAGCTTTGCCCCCCCGGATCAGCGATGGGGGAGCTTCGCCCTCGCTGCAGACCGCGACGTGCAAACTGATGTCAAGCTCTGTAAGGAAGCGGAGCTCCGCAGCCCAGCGAGGCTTTTTAACACGTTGCAAATTATATGTTCAGTT